CGACGTCATGACGTCGACGTCTGGGAGTCCAATGGGAGCGCGGGGTCGGGCTTGAGGGTCCGGCCCCGCCCACACCCCGCCTGAGGCCCCGCCCCCGTGCCCTGAGCTGCCAGCGCCCGCGGAGGCGTGGGAGGAGGTGGGCGATCCGGAGGGTGGCTGCGCGGGGAGAGCAGTGGGTCTAGACCGGGAAGCAGAAACCCTCGAAGTTAAGAGACACCAGCAAAGGTGCGGGGGGGACCCGGGCCGGGGCTGCCAAAGAGAAGCGGGTTGGAGGCGGTGGGCAGGCTTGCGGTCTGCCCGGGGTCTCTCCACGCGTGGGCTGGGCCGCTGTCCAGTCTGAAGACTCATCTCGGGGAGGATAGACGCCCGAGCTCCCTCAGGTGACAGGATCAGGTCCCCGTGGGCCGCTGGGTGGGGGTTTCTCCGCAGGTGAGCGGCCGTGCAGCACAGAAGCGTGTCTCACAAGGACACTTCTTCACTTTTGCGCTCCTCTGATTGTTAGAAGAAGGTCGCTCACTCTGAGGGAAACCGTGTCCTGAGGACACTCATGCAGCCCTGGGGACGGGCCCACGGGTGGGGAGCTGGGGACCCCAGCCAATAACCGTGTTGGACTTGCTCTGCGTGCACATCACCTTGGGGTTTTGTGCTCAGGTCAGTAGGCATCCAGCTCTGAGACAGCTGCTTGAAGACACTGCCGAGGACAAGTCTCCCACCTTCTGATTCCACAGTCGATATCCTGTGCATTTCATCCTAAAGGAATCCAGATGGCGGCTCCTCCTCCAGACATTGCATCTGACCCATATCATGAGCCGGCTCATCTGTGATCAACCTCAGCCTTTTCCTTTTCTTTTTTTGTCTTTTTTCCGTGTCCGGCAACGGATCGCAACCCTCAGTGTCACCCCCGCACCGGACTGGGACCGGCAACGGGACGGCAACCCTCAGTGTCGCGCCCGCACCTCGCTCAGCCAGTGAGCAGGAACCGGTCTGTATGTGGGATCCGAACCCTCGGTGGGAGCACCGCCACGCTTCCCAAGCGGCGCACTATCACAGTGTGCCACCGGGCCGGCCCATCCTTTTCCCTGCATAAAGAACTGCCCCTGTCACATCAGCCATAGGTTTGGACTGAGGGAGAGGAGGTGCTAGTGCAACAATGGTAGGTAATGTGGATGTGCAACGGACTGCTGCTGGGCATACCTGAATGTACAGCTGAGTGGGCCTGATAGAACCCGCTCATGAGGGGCAGCTCTGGCCCCATGGCCACTCGATGTCCCCTAGTCATCCTGTCTGCTACAGATGGCCTGGCCTTTCTCCAGAACCCTAGTGGTCTACACTGTGGTTTTCCCACCAGGGCTTGCCATAAACTTCACACAGCATCTTCCCCCATCACGTAAGTCTCTCATATCATAGGGTCTGTGGGTTCTGTGGCTTCAGGGACAGCCCTTTCCTGCTGTGGGCCTCACTCAATGCTGGAAGACTTTATGATGCCCAGAGATACGTGGGTCAGAGCAGCATTCCCGAGTGCGGAATATGCTGCCTCCCGTACCTGGGGAGGCCTGCTAAGCATTGTGCTTCCTTTGCTGTGACAAAGTGTGCAAGGCACAACCATTTGTCCTCTACTATGGAGGGGATGTCCTGGTAAGCCCTAGACCACTAGACCCCTACCAACTTCACTGATGTGGCAAGCCGCGACTCTTTGTAGGGGTTATCTTCTACCCTCAGGAGCACAAGTGTCTCATCATGGTTTCCATTGACTTGTCACTTCTTGCTCATCCAGCCAGATTACCAGGTTGTCATCGATATAGCGAACTAGTGCAATGTTCTGCAGAATGTCCAGATGGCCCAGTCCCCTTCAGACTTTATGATGACAAAGGGTGGGAGAGTCACCATTGGCCTGGGGCAAGATGGTACATGTGTACTGTTGTCCATCTCTGTGAATAAAAACGGTTCCTGATGGGGATGGAAGAGGAGATCAGAGGGAAGTCTACACACTGAGTACCTGAGGACATGTTGACCTGTGCTAGCAATGCCACCAGCACAGCAGCTGCAGTCAGGACTACCACTTGGCTGAGTACAGGGCAATCCACTACTAACCTCTGGGTTTTTTTAAGGCCAGACTGATAACTTAAATAGGGATATGGTGGAGTTCAACGCCCCCCACATGCCTTAAGTCTTCAAAGGTGGTGCTAATCTCTACCATTTTATTTGCTATCTTGGTGGGGAGGGGGAAGCTCAGGGGCTTTCACATGACTCGCCACTGTCATAGCTCTCACCCCACATTCTCACCAAGGAACTGGCATGAGCATTTCTCCAACTGCTTAGTAAGTCTATCCCAGTGATATATTCAGCTTTCCTGGCTGCTACTTCGACCTCGATGGTCATATGATGATTGTACCCATTTTGCTTCTCATGGCTGATCACTACCATCTGGCTTGTTATTGTGGGATTGCTGCCATCCCATAGCTATCAACGAGCCCAGTTTTGAGCTGCATCTCCTACTATCAGCCACGGCCTGGAGGGGATGGCCACCCTGAGCCTGGTGTAGGGGAGTGTAGTGGATTGAATTATGTCCACTCAAAACTCATTGAAACTTGAATTGTGTCTTCCAAGTTTTATGTATTAGAAACAGCTCCCACTGTGACTGTTAAGAGGGTGGGAAATCCTATTATGGTAATCTAAAGGTGGAGCCTTGAAGAGGTGATTGGATTGTAGGACCATGCAGGAGTGAATGGATTCAAAATGCTGGTGAGGGATGTGGTTCTGAGGGCTTTAAAAGACAGGAGAGTCTGTCTTTCTGCTCTCTCTGCTTCCACCATCTTGCCATATGAGACCCCTGGGTCATTGTTGCCACCACCAGATGGACTTTGGACTTTTCAGCCTCAGAAATTGTAAGCAATAACTTTTGTTTTACTTTATAAATTACCCAGTCTCAGGTATTCTGTTAAAGCAACAATAACAGAGTAATACAGAAAATTGGTACCAGAGAAGTGGGGTGTTGCTATACAGATACCTGAAAATGTGCAAGCAGCTTTGGAACTGGGTGTTGAGGAGAGGCTGGAGGAATTTGGAGGAACAGGCTAGAAAAAGCCTAGATGCTGATGAAAGTTTAGAAGACAAAACACATCAGAGAAAGTTTTAGAGATTGGTTAAATGGTGGTGACCAGAATGCTTGTGGAAATATGGACTGTAAAGACCATTCTAATGAGGTCTCAGGTAGAAATAAGAAGAAATTTATTGGAAACTGGGGCAAAGATCACCCTTGCTGTGAACTGGCAAGGAATTTGGGTGCATTCTCTCCATGCCCTAGGGCTCTGTGGAAGTTGGAACTTAGGAGTTGTGAACCAGAGTATTTGGTGGAAGAAATTTCTAAGCAGCAAAGCGTTAAGGAAGCTGCATGGGTACTTGCAACAGCCTACGCTGAGTTATGGCATCAAAGGCATGACATAAAGCCAAATTTAAAAGGGAAGCAGAGCATCAAGATTTGGAAAATTTGCAGCCTGGCCATGTGGTAGAGAAGCAGAGAGCATTTTCACACAAAGAATGCAGTGGTGCTAAGAAGATTAACACAAAAGTATGGGATTATCAAGAGAAGGGGGGGAAAGGCCCTCAAGACATTGCAGAAGCCTCTGGGGTCAACCTTTCCATTTTGGTCCCAAAGGCCTAGGGAGACAGAATGGTCTTGGGGAACAGGCTTGAGGTGCTCTCCATGGGCTCACTGGCCAGGACCACCTCAGGAAGCTGCTTCTAGCACCAGTACCTCAGCTGCTTTGGCTACTTCATCTGTGGCTAAATTTGCCCCAGGTGTGGCTGGACCCACAGCTTTGGAAAATGCAAGCCAAAAGCCTTGGCGGCATCCATGTAGTGTTAGGTTTGTAGGCTCACAGAATGCCAGAGCTGGGGAGGGTTGGGAGCCTCCACCCTGATTTCAAAGGTTGTATGGAAAAGTCTGGTGGTCCAGGAAGAGATCTGTTGCAGGGGCAGAGTCACCACAGACAGCCTTTGCTACAGTAATGCCAAGTGGAAATGTGGGGTCAGAGTTGCAACAGAGAAACCCCAACAGAGCCATGTCTAGTGGAGCTGTGAGAGTGGGGCCACTATGGAGACCTCAGATTTGTGGAGCTACCAGAATGGAACACCAGAATGGGAGAGCTGAAGTGTGGCCTGAGACCAGAAAAGCCGTAGGAGCAGAGCTGCCCAAGGACTTGGGGACCCAACCCCCACACCAGTGTTCAGAGGAGATCAAACATAGAGTCAAGGTACATGATTCACCAGATTTGAGATTTAATTCCTTCCCTGCTGGGTTTCGAACTTGTTTGGGACCTGTTACTCCTTTCTTTTGGCCTATTTCTCCCTTTTGGAATGAGAGTGTGTACTCTACCTTTGTCCCACCATTGTATCTTGTTAGTAGATAACTTGTTTTGACTTCACAGAGGAGACTTTGAA